GAGACGTACCTACTTAGTTGGAGAACTCGTAAAAAAGTCATGAAAATTTACAACAAATAAAATAACGCAAAAGAACTAAACAGGATAATTTCATTTGCACTCTTATGCAATTTAATACAAACCTTTTATCAAAAAGAAAAGAAAATAGTTACAATTATATTCGATGAAGTTTTGTTTATAAACCCTAGGGATTCGAAAATCAATAAAATGACAATGGGTTCTCTATTCCCGGCAAAAAACCAAAACGGTTATAAGAAAAATCAATTGAACAGGCCTTTTAACAAAAAAAAAGAAAAATCAATTGAACAGGCCTTTTAACAAAAAAAAAGAAAAATCAATTGAACAACGATTTTGCTCCTCCTCTCTCTTCGTTTGGTTCGCCACCATGAAAGAGACAAAAGAAACCGCTGATTCTTCAAAACCCTCTAGCTCATCCAGACTCTTATTACCCTCCGCACGTGAGATCTTCTTCACATCCTCTTCTTTAGTCTCTCCGATCGATCTCTTAAGGAACTGCTTAAACCATTTGACTGAATCTTTGGGATAACGTTTGAGACCGTTGACAAAGTCAACATAGTAAAGACCAAATCTAGCTGTGTATCCTTTTTCCCATTCAAAGTTGTCCATTAGGGACCATGCATAATATCCTCTTATGTCACACCCATCCTCCCTATAACCATATCATAACTTTTAGCAATAAATCGATATAAATTAAAACGTATACACAAACTGTGCGAAACATAAAGAACTAACACTATAGCTTTCTGAAGTTCTTGCAGATGTGTATTATGGTATTCAATCCTATATGTGTCTTTAAGAAACTCTTCTCTCGGTTTTGTACCATCGTCGCGCTCGCTGACTCCTGCAAATCAATAATCAACATGAGTTATATGTACTAAAATTTTGGATAACAAAAATCGTACTAAAAATCAGTTAGTTTAGTCGACTAAAAATACATATATTCAGTGATACCAAACTTAAGTTCAGACTTTTCAGAGCTAAAAAATTATTCCCGTTTTATAAATTAAGTTATTCAGATTATGTCCTAAATCCAGAATTTTCTCGTAAGTAGATAAAATAACGTTGTCACTTGTCAGAAAATTCTAGTTAATCATCAGAAGAAAAATGTTTTCTAACCATTTTCTTTAATGTAGACAGGGATGTTATTGTATTTATCTTTGATATAGTTGAGAACTTTTCGAAAGCCTTCCGGGTATGATAATATTTGGCCCCTTTCTTCCTGAAGAACAAAAATATATGCAAAATTTAGATATCTTGTAATGATATATATTATATGTCGCATTTGAAAATAAGTAAGCGCACGTACTCCAGGTCCAATAACGTGGCCACTGTGGTTCCTCGCTGTTTCAAAGCAAATTATAAACGTTATTTAGTTAAACCATCTAAGCTACTGGAATTGGTAATTATGAGTTTAGTAATTGGCATCATGCGTACATACCTGTCATTTCGACGTGATGGTCAGTCTTGCACCGAAGCTTTGCTGGGTCGATGTGAGGAATATGAGTAGCGAAGCGAGCTGTATAGTAATTTACTCCGACAAAATCTGATGAATTTTTTAACATATTTGATTGTTCCGTTGTAAACGAAGGTAATCTGTTGCCCGCCTTTTTTTTAATTATCTCTGGATAATCTCCATAAACCACTGGATCAAGATGCCTATATACATATAGAAGATAAGTCAATGCTAAAAAATAATTAAATAGAAGCAAAACTACTGAAATCGTTTTGTTTAGATAACTTACCATCCAATTTCATAGGCAAGAGCTCGTTGAGCGGCTTCTTTGTCATCAGTAGAGTCAGAATGATGAGGCTCCAACCATCCTAGTGATATTACTATCCCAATTTGGCTATCATCTGAAATTCTTTTGCATTTTCGGAATTCATCTACCGCAGCCGCATGAGCAAGAAGAATGTGATGTGAAACAATGTAAGGCTCAGTACTTGAATTTCCAGCCTCGCATTTTTTGTTTACCCATTTTGAACATCGTCCAGCCGCCTTGATACCTTGGTCATAACCCGCAATAGTCATAATATACGGTTCGTTGATCGTTGTCCACATTTTGACTTTATTTCCAAATTTTTCGAAACAAACTTTTGCAAAATCTCGAAAGTCTTCTCTGTTTTGATAAAATTCATAAAATAAGATAACATGTTCAATATTTCAATTCAATAATTTTTGAAATATTTATATATGTGTTTTTTTTTTGTTTGCTAAAAATATTATTCATGTGTTAATTAGACTTACACGATTGTCGGGCTTAAAAAGCCACCATATTCGTCCTCCAAAGATTGTGGATGGTCCCAATGATAGAGAGTCATTGAAGGTTGTATGTCTGCAGGTTTATCGGACAATACAATTATCTTTTTTATTTTTTTTTGTTAAATACAATACAATAGTTTTATTTTATAAGCACACCTTTTATTTATTTAGAGAATCTTAACTTACCATTCGCAAGAAGTTCGTCGATGAGATCCTTGTAGAATTGTACAGCTTCTTCGTTTACTCCATCCTTTAGCTTTCCACCTGTATATAATTGAAAAACTCACCACATAAATAACTCGTAGAAATGATGAAAACAACAAATAATAACTGGTCTAATTGATTAAAAAAAGCATCTCGCATAAATAATTGTTAGTATAGAAAAATATAATTGTCAACAGCGATAAAAACTCACTGGGAATTAATCTGGCCCACGAGATTGAGAATCTGAAAGCGTCCATGTTTAGTTCCTTCATCAGTTTAATGTCCTCCTGTTTTTATTTTTCGTAGAAAAAATATAATACTAATCAACAAAAAACAAAAATGATGACTATAGCGAGTCCAAGTGTAGCATACCTATCACCTTTTAAGAAAGTGTGCTGACAAAATAACATTGATTATATGGGACATGTAAAAATAAAAGCTTGATTATAGATAGTAATAGTACCTTATAACGGTGGTAAAAATCAACTGCCACATCTGCATTATGCATTTTGGTCCTTTCTGCAGTCAAAGATTTTATAGATAATCGTTAGTTTTTTACCTTATTTTCTCACAAATGGTTTTAATATAAATATGGTAATTGTTGGTAACTTGGTATAGGAGTGGTTATCAAATTCGTGGTTTCGGACAGACAGGACAGACCTGGGTAAGTGTGGCTGAAGTGGTCCCATGTAGTTGGAGACTTCCCACCTTCATTTGTTGCACCTTCGTACTGCATAAATAAATAAAAAATAAAAATATTCACTGAATAGCTAGTTTAGAAAGAAAAAACAAACATGAACAATTACATCAAAAGAAAGTCAGTAATCTCTAGACAAATAAAAATGTAATTTGGAAAATTTTAGTTCTTTAATGAAAACGTTAAAATAGTCGGAAATTCATTAAAAATTTAAAACTATATTCTTTGTAAAGCAGGGTTTCTTTTATATATAAAGAAAAAACATGTACACCTTTACTAGGATGATGCGAGAGATACTAAAGAACCAAAACAGAACGTACGTTAGAATCTGGATGAGGACGTTTGGACACACACCCATACAACAAATGTCAAATTGAATATTTGAGTACTTCAGCGAATAAAGGTAAACTTAATTAGCTGCAAAACTGTAGAGTACTTTCAAATTGTTTTATTATTAAGATGACATAGCAACTGAAAGATTATATTAAATTCGTGATTCTGTATAACTATGGATTAAAAAGATTACAGAAACTTATAAAGACTTAACAGATTACTAAACTATAAAATTTACCTGGAATGCCGAACCAGCCGTTCCAAAAATGAAACCATCAGGAAAACTATGTCGATCTAACACTTGAGACTTGAGCGTGTTTGCAAACAATGAGATAATAGAAAGGAGGAAGAAGAAACGGGATCTCCTAATCATTTTTCTCTTCTTCTCTCTTTTTACGTTTGGTCTTTTTGGTTTTCAAAGTGATTTATGGATATTATTTACTCTGTATTCTCCTTCTTATATAGAGTTTTTTTCCTCCGGTAATAGTTTACGTCATCTTGATAGAGAGAGAATTAATAAAGCATTTTTCTAATAGCCAAATATTTTATTTCCAATTTAGACTATTATGCAATAGGTCACAATATTCCATTTTGGGTTCTTAGATTTTAGTGTGTTTTTTAGTCTTTTGGTTCAACGAACTAAACTCGAGGAGCTCTTTTTGTCCATCGTCATCTCTGAATGTGCCCGTGATCACTGCTCACGTTCATCATTTTGTATTCTCTGGAATTTTCCATGGTTACTGCTCGGATACACACTTCTATGTAGGCCTATCTATATACAAACACACATATATGTATGTGTTGAATGTGGTCGAAATCATGGCTCCGTTCACTGTAACATATCCTCCCAAGACTTCGAACGGTTATATTTTCACATGCATAACAGATGTCCTACCCACAGCATAGATGATTTTAGTAAATTAGATATAGAAAATACAATGAAAATCTGTTTAAAATTTTATATCTTCATCATCTTTTTCGAATTCCTTGTATTATGTGTTGTTTAATCAACTTTGGTAGGACTATTTTTCTCGATTTGGGCTTTCATTTCAAGTTTTTTGTTGAGCCCAGCCCATTGTCGATCAGAATGTTAAGAAGATTAACAAGTCTCTCACGCCAGACTCACAGAGAGATCGGAGAGCAATCATTGTTCAAATTGTCTTTTTCTTCTTGTTTCTCCAGTCTTCTGTAGAGTGACAAAACAATCAATTGAGACACTGTAATCGAATCATCATCATAATGGATGCTTCGCCGAGACGTACCTACTTAGTTGGAGAACTCGTTCAAAAGTCAGGAAAATTTACAACAAATAAAAAAACGCAAAAAAAAAAAGCAAAAGAAGTACAAATAGAATGAATAATTTCATTTGCATTCTTATGCAATTTAATAAAAAAATTCTATCAAAATAAAAAAGTTACAATTCTATTCATTTATCAGTTCCTTAAGAAAATGTAGTTTTCTTTGTAAACCCTAAGGATTAGAAAATCAATAAAATGACGATGGGTTTTCTATTCCCGGCGAAACACCAAAACGGTAATAAGGAAAATCAAGCGAACAACGATCTCTCTCCTCCTCTCTCCTTGATTGGTTCGCTGCCATGAAAGAGAGAAAAGAACCCGTCGATTCTTGGAAACCCTCTTGCTCATGCAGAGTCTTATTCCCCTCTGCATGTGACGTCTCCTTCACATCCTCTTTTTTAGTCTCTCCAATCGATCTCTTAAGGAACTGTTTAAACCATTTGGCCGAATCTTTGGGATAACGTTTGAGACCGCTGACAAAGTCAACATAGTAAAGACCAAATCTAGCAGTGTATCCATGTTCCCATTCAAAGTTGTCCATTAATGACCATGCATAATATCCTCTTACGTCACACCCATCTTCCCTGTAACCATATTATAACTTTTATCAATAAATAAAAAAACGATTTAAATTGAATTAACGTAGACACATATTGTTAGAAAGATTAAGAACTAACACTATAGCTTTCTGAAGTGCTTGGAAATGTGTCTCGTGGTATTCAATCCTAAATGTGTCATTAAGAATCTCTTCTCTCGGTTTTGTACCATCGTCGCGCTCGTTGATTCCTGCAATTCAGTAAATCAACATGAGTTATATATATATGTAGTTGCATCTCAAAAGAATTTGAAAACAAAAACACCTAAAACTATATATGTTTCCGTGATTCTAATTAAGTTCGAACTTAACTAGACCTAAGCACTTATTTACGTTGTGTAGAGTTAAAGCATTATAATCCTAGTTATCTGAAGTTTCTAGTTAGAAGAAGAAAAATGTTTACTAACCATTTTCTTTGATGTAGACAGGGATGTTATTGTATTTGTCTTTGATATAGTTTAGAAGTTTTCGTAAGCCTTCCGGGTATGACAATATTTGGCCCCTTTCTTCCTGAAGAAAATAAAAAAATATACAAAATTTAGAAATCTTATAATGATATATATTATATGTCGCATTCAAAATTGATAGTTATGAACAATAAAGCAAGTACGTACTCCCGGTCCAATAATGTGGCCACTGTGGTTCGTCGCTGTTTCAAAGCAAATTGTAAACGTTGTTTAGTTAAACCATCTAAGCTAAACTGAAAGTGGTAATTATGATAATTTTAGTAATTGGCATCATGCGTACATACCTGTCATTTCGACGTGATGATCAGTCTTGCACCGAAGCTTTGCTGGGTCGATATGAGGAATAAGACTAACGAAGCGAGATGTATAGTAGTTTACTCCGACAAAATCTGATGAATTTTTTAACATATTTGATTGTTCCGTTGTAAACGAAGGTAATCTGTTCCCCGCTGTTTTTTTAATTATCTCTGGATAATCTCCATAAACCACTGGATCAAGATGCCTATATACATATAAAAGATAAATTAATGCTAAAAAATAATTAAATATAAGCAAAACTACTGAAATTGTTTTGTTTAGATAACTTACCATCCAATTTCAAAGGCAAGAGCTCGTTGAACTGCTTCTTGGTCATCAGTAGAGTCAGAATGATAAGGCTCCAACCATCCTGGTGACAATACTATCCCAATTTGGCTATCATGCGAAATTCTTTTACATTTTCGGAATTCATCTACTGCAGCAGCATGAGCAAGAAGGATGTGATGGGAAACAATATAAGGCTCGGTACTTGAATCTCCAGCCTGACATTTTTCGTTTACCCATTTTGAGCATCGTCCAGCTGCCTTGTTACCTTGATCATAACCCGCAATAGTCATAATGTAGGGTTCGTTGATTGTTGTCCACATTTTAACTTTATCTCCAAATTCTTCAAAACAAACTCTTGCGAAATCTCGGAAATCTTCTCTGTATTTGATAAAGTTAATAAAATAACCTATTCAAAATTAGTTTCAAAGGTATTCGAATTATTATTAATGTGTTAATTAGGCTTACACGATTTTAGGGCTTAGAAAGCCACCATATTCGTCCTCCAAAGCTTGTGGCTGATCCCAGTGATAGAGAGTCATTGAAGGTTGTATGTCTGCATGTTTATCGGACCATACAATTTGATGTTATTATTTTATTTTATAAGCCACCTATAATTTAGTTAGAGAATAATAACTTAACTAATAAACTAATGATCTTACCATTAGCAAGAAGCTCGTCAATGAGATCATTGTAGAATTGTACACCTTCTTTGTTTACTCCATCCTTCAGCTTTCCAGCTGTACATAATCATATTGCACCACGTAAATAACTTGTAACAAGTTGACCACAAAGAAAAAAATACTCGTATAATTGATTAAAGAAAAAATATCTCGTAAAAATAACTGTTAGCTAGTCAAGAAAAATGTAATTATCAACAACAACCACAACAAAAACTTACTGGGAATTAACCTGGCCCACGAGATTGAGAATCTGAAAGCGTCCATGTTTAGCTCCTTCATCAATTTAATGTCATCCTGTTTTGTCATTAAAAACACTAATTAACGAAAACCGAAATGATAACTATATCAAGTCCAAAAGTTATTTTCATTTTGACTGGGTTATATACAATGACCTGAATTTTTTATACAGACATGATTTCAAATTATATGATAGTTTAATTTAGTTTTAGACTTTTAAACAATAACATTGATTGTAGTCAATGTTCAAAAGAAAATAGGATGATTATAAATAATACCTTATAACGGTGGTAAAAATCAATTGCCACATCTGCATTCTGCATTTTGGTCCTTTCTGCAGTCAAAGATTTTACAAATAATCATTAGTTTTTTGGTCAGAAATGGTTTAATATAAATATGGTAATTGTTGGTATAGGAGTTAATCTAATTCGGTCCGCAAAATTTTGTTTTCGGCCAGGAAGAGTCACAGACCTGGGTAAGTGCGGCTGAAGTGGTCCCATATAGTTGGAGACTTCCCACCTTCATCTGTTGCTCCTTCGTACTGCATAAATATAAGACAAACAAAACGTAAAAACATTATTTTCATGGAATAGCTACTTTAGAATGACAAAACGAACATGAAGAATGATATTGAACTATAGATCTGTAGAAAAATCAACTATAATTTGAAAAAAATTGTCCCCAGTTCGATCTTCTCAAATGATGGAATAATCATACATGAATTAAGATTTCGTAAAAAGCTATATAATTTGTAAAGCAGAGTTTCTTATGTATAAAAAATAGATTTCCCTCGTAGTGAAATTGAAAGTCGAAGCCCTTTTCACAAAAGAAAAAAACAAAAATTTGAAAGTTGAACGGCCCTTTTTCTCTTTCATCAACTCCACCTTGGCAGAGGTGTAAGAATTAGGTTTAGGTTTAGGTTTAGCAGGGTTCACTTTGGTAAGTAAAATAGTATTTTCAGTTCAATTCTTGTAAAAATGAATAGAAAATATGTAGAATGAAAAGTGAAATCATTCAGAAAATAAAGATGGAATTAACTGCAAATTGTAGAGTACTTTCAAATTGATTTATTATTAAAATGGCAGAATAATTGAAAGAATTACAGAATTCTTGATTTAATTTGTCAAACTGTAATTTAAAAGAATTATCGCGCAAAAAGAGTTCACCCATTTTACAGATTACTAATCAAAACAAGAAAAAAATTACCTGATATGCTGATGCAGCTGTTCCAAAAATGAAGCCATCAGGAAAACTATGTCGATCTAATATTTGAGAATTAATCGTTTTTGCAAACAATGTGATGATAGAAAGGAGGATGAAGAAACGAGATCTCCTAATCATTTTTCTCTTTCTCTCTTCTTTTTTGTTTGGTCTTTTTTGAGATTTCAAAGTGATTATGGAGAGATCCGAAGTCTATCTTCTCCTATATATATAGAGTTTTTTTTCCTCGTTCGATAATAGACGTCATATACGTGGAAATGTTTGGACATACATATCATATTGGATAGAGATAGAAGTCAATTGCATTTTCCTAATAGCCAAATATTTATTTCCAATCTTAAGACTATATTGCATACTAAGTCATGATATTCCTTTCCATTTTGGGTTCTTACTTTTTACTATTTTTGGTACAACCAACTAAACGCTAGGAGCCTTTTTGTCCATTGCATCTCTGAATGTGCCCGTGATCACTGCTCACATTCATCATTGTATTCTCCGAAATTTTCCATGGTTACTGCTCAGATTCACTTATATAGGCCTAAATATGCGTCTAAACTAACGTTGGTGACTTGGTGTTGAATGTGGTCAAAATCGTGGCTACGTTAACATTTTATTTCCTCCGAAGACTGCATGTAGTTCGATGTACGGTTGCGTTTTTCCCTTTTATAAAAGATGTCCCACACACCATCACGCGCTTGCTGGATTTTTTTATCCATAAAATAAAAGATTAAGACTATTATTCTATTTATATAATCTAATTTCTTTGCTAATAGTCGTGTTAATCTTATCTTGTGACTAATATTCCCATTTTAGTGGATGTATCCTGAACAGTTTCATGAAGTGTTGACTGTTGATTCAAATTTCTGATATCAGGCCGTCTTATTTTGGGTAAAGGCATATATTTTGATTTAGTAAATAGTACGTGTCATCTTTATCCAAAATTCATGCTTTTATTTTATTTTAGTCCTACTGGTTATTTCACAGAAACAAGTTTCATAATATTTTGGCCGATGAAGTTGTGACAAGAAATTAATTAATTAAGAAGAAACAAATCTTAATGGGATTTTTTGTTTCTTGTAAAGTATGGTATATTAATTTGATAATGGACTGGCATTTGTTATATAGTATTAATTTGATTAGTACAGAACTACAGATGAACTGATTTGAGGATGTAATTGGTAATAATGAAATGAAAACAGCAATATATATTCATTTTTATACTGAATGAATATCTTTTATGGAATTACGAGCAAATAGAAAAAAAAAATCCCATTAGTATGGAATTTTTATGTTCAACCAAGAAAAAAAAAAAAGAGAGATGAGCAATAGTCCTTATCACATTCTAATTGAAAAGATGAGAACAATTAACTGGCAGTGACCTGTTTTGCTTTTCAGGAAGTTGTATATTTGTATAGGAGGAACAAAATTTCCAGCATAAGGAGATGATTTTTTCTTGTTCTTATTCCTTATTAAATAGCTATCATTTATTTTAAATAACTTGCACACACAAAACTATTCTTATATATATAGATCATATAGTTTTAAAATTGAAGTAGTAAATAAGGAATTAAAAACATAATGAAAATATATGTATGTTATATTCCAAATTATATATCCTTTGATCATTTTCAAAGGCAAACACCGCGAAATCATATTATAATACTCTCTTATTTAACTTCGGTAGGAACACATTTTTTCATATGATATTTTTTGTTTTGTTGTTGGCATCTGATGAATTTATTAAAGGCAAACACCGCGAAACCAAAGCCTAATAACAAAAACAGATGCATCAAACATCCAAACCAAAGCCTAACAACAAATATTGCAGGATTCGTCCTCCCTGATGAATGCAACAAATGTCTTTTGATTATCAGTAAAAGAAAATCAATACACTTCTGTATTAAAAAGAGAGTATTATAATAGATATAGAAGTTTTTGTTTTTCACGAAACGTTAAGTTAATTTCCCTATGAAAAGATAATTCGTGTATAAGACAAAACAAGTATATTAGTCTATAACAAATTTTATGACATGCTCAGTTATCAAAAACGAGATGAGAACAAAATTGACCCGGATGTTTGCAGTTGTCTTCATGTCTTAGTTTAATATTATTTTGTCAACATGGATGTTTTAGGTCTAATAATCATATTTTGCATGTATAGGAATAGGCACAATTAAGGCAGGAGTGGAGCCTAAGTCCAGCAAGAAACAAGGAAGCTGACGTACATAGTCAAACAATCAAACCTATTTACTTTTACACGTTTGAAGAAAATGTTTTGATAAATCTGCTCTACAATATCGAAAAGAAACGGTACACAAATAATATAACAACAAATATTGGACTCAATTAAACCGATAGCTCATGATCTATTAAATAACAGCAACCTGCTGCCTCGTCCCATTGTACTGATCTCCCTTCAACAATCTCCTAAACCACTTAGCTGATTTCTTGGGATACCTCTTACGTCCATCTTCAAAGTCTACAAACACTAGCCCGAACCGGACCGTGTATCCTTCCGACCATTCGAAATTGTCCATCAACGACCACGCAAAATATCCTTTCACATTCACCCCCATCCTACATTTCATGTAGACATAGTTCTCAATTGTTTATCAAAAAAAAAAAAAAAAATCGTTCTCAACCTCAGTCTGATAGGGGAACCATAATACGATATACATGTTAAAATAGATGTGAAAAGAAGAGGACGTACGAGATAGCATCGTGGACCATCTTAAGGTGATGAGCGTAGTAATCAATTCTCAAATCGTCGTTAAGAAACATTTCGCCATTACTTGCTTCATCCACTCCTACATGATTTTATAAAAGAGACGAGAAATAAAAAATACTGAAATAATTTTTGTTCTGAACAATCAAATTTAGAAAGAAAAAAAAAATCAATCAAAGGCATGAATTACCGTTTTCTGTTACGTACAAGACGGGATCATTGAATTTGAATTTTGCGTATAGTAGGAGATCACGAATACCCTTGGGGCAAACCAGAAGCCAATCCGACCCAGCCTGGTTGGATCATAGAATATAGACATTATTATAACGTTACAATTTTGAATATTACTACTACTATTCGGATAACTTATTCATTACGTCAAAATTCATACGTTACATATGCGTGACGACCCAGCCTAATGATCTATCCTACTTTTAAGTTTTAACTAAACAAAGTTGTATAGAATAATCGTACCTTTGGACCGATAGGCACTCCATTTTGCTCAACTAATACAATATATATACACACACACACAAAAACAATCATATAACGAATTCAAGAAAAATAGTAAATTTATAGGTGTTTATAAAAATAAAAATAAAAATAAAAATAAAAATAAATATGGTTAACGGACCTACGAGGCTGACGCAAGGATCTGTGGACATGGTGATGTTTTCAGTAGCACAAGGCACGTCTTTTGCGTAAGCTGATGTGTAATAGTTTATGCCTATAAAATCGTACGATCCTTTGAGCATTGAGGACTCTTCTTGAGTGAACGTAGGAAGACGACCGTCTTTGACATGGTTGATCATTTCGGTTGGGTATCTACCGTTGACGACTGGCTCCATGAAGTAGTCGAAGCTGAATGCCATGGCTCGAGCTGCAGCTGACCGATCAGCATATGACTCTGAAAAAGGATAGTGCCAATCTGTTTGTAAGACGATGCCAATTTCACCTTTCTGAGTCGCCTGTGGTCACAAAACGCAGTGAGTAGAGTAGACACAGTGCATTGCAAAAACAGAACTTAGCACAACAGAGCATGTCAGAAACAGAGCATAACGGAAACAGAGTAAAACAGAGCATGTCAAAAACAGAGCAGATCGGAAACAGAGCTTGTCAGAAACAGAGCATAACGGAAACAGAGTAAAACAGAGCATGTCAGAAACAGGGTAAAACAGAGCATCGCATGCATAGATAGCTAAAGTATAAGGTGCATAGATATTGAAGTAGAAACATACCTGGTACTTTTCTCTGTAGACTTTGACAGCAGCTCCATGAGCGAGGAGGAAGTTATGGCCTACAATGTAAGGCTCGGTGGCTCCATCGCCTCCAGTGCAATCAGTTTTAGTGAAACTGGAACATCTTCCAGGTGCTTTAACACCTTCTATATAACCATGACGTACCATTGTAAATGGCTCGTTTATTGTTATCCAATGCTTCACTCTATCTCCAAACTTCTGGAAACAAAGTTCCGCATAGTCTTGGAAGTCTTTCCTGTTTCATTACCAAAAGGTCTTTCAATCTAATGATGTCGTAATCTTACCATTTATAGATTTTGAATAAAGTACTTACACTATCTCGGCTCCAAGGAAGCCACCGTAAGCGTTTTCGAGTGCATCTGGTAAGTCCCAGTGAAAGATTGTGGCAAATGGCTTCACTCCTAACACATTGACATTACTCAAAACAGTAAATGTTGTGTTCTTGAAATATCTTTGACAATTTTCAAAGGTATAATCATCAAGATTCCCTCAAAAGCAAAAAGTCCTCTAATGTTACCGTAGACTGAGAAACGTAGGATCACTACCTTTTAACAGAAGCTGATTAATCAAGTTGTTGTAATAGTCAATCCCAGCATGGTTTATTCCTCCCTTTAGATCCCCACCTAACCAACAAAAGAATGTGATTACTAGTTCACTCGCAAATATAGAAACTTTTACAAAGATCTGTTTGGATCAATATCTCTTACGAGGCAGAATTCGTGACCATGAGATCGAGAATCGGTAAGCATCGAAGCCAATTTGATGCAGCAAATTCACATCCTCCTGTTTTTCCAAGAAAGCTTTTATGAAGAAAAGTGTAATGTTGGATGTATGATTGACTTTTTTTTTTGTTGGTTGCGTGAAGAGAAGCAATACCTTGTAAAGGTAGTAAGAATCATCAGCAATGGACCCATTACTGCCATCCATTATCTTCTCTGGAAAATTAATTGAACTGTTTAAACGCACGGAAAACAGGATCCAGGAGGTTCATCATCAACTCATTTCTTTTCTTTGAACACAAGATAATGCCAGATTAATATATAAACTCAATCCCATTTTTTTTTTTTTTTTTTGAGTCTAGAATGTAAGAACGTTTAAGAGATGCAAACATTGATGGTTTCTAATTGTGATTAAAAACCTGGGAATTTTTCAGAGAAGGTGTCCCAGATACTTGGTCCCCTGCCATCTTTATGGGCAGCACCTTCACACTGCAAATTCGAAAATATTTAACAAGACAAAATTTTAAAATTGATGATAACATAAGAGCTAAACCTGATAAGCAGAAGTAGCAGATCCAAAAATGAAATCTTCTGGAAAATCATTTCTTTTTAATTTAGGCCTTGAAGAGTGGTTCTTGCCGGAAACTCCATTGTGGGCAAAGCTAATGAGCAACAGTAAAAAGAGACTTTCACTTCTCATTTTTTTTAGTTACTACAACAATTTTGGATATGATAATTTGTATAAATAGAGCAGGTGGAGGGGGTAGACTGGAGAGGGAGAGAAAGTGCGCTGCAACTAGCAACATTTTTCACTAATTGTTTATCTTTTTATACGATTTTGTAATCGTTTCAAGAAACACTATCCTATAAATTACTAGTAAACAAAAGACAGAAAGAATCAAGAATCAAAAGCTGAGTCATCATATAAAGAAAGCTACTACGTGAAAACCGACAAAACATATGCTAGTGCATTGTTTTTGAATTTTCCCTGCTTTGATTTCGGTTTTGTACTTTACCAAAACAAAAAGATTTATGCAACAAGTAAAAGATGGCCAGGATTATCCATTTCTCATGTTGAATAGCATTGTGATCCATTTTGTTGTGTTCTGCTGTTCCAATAGAAACAAAAAAAATTGAGAGACAATAAAATGGTAACAAAAAGGAACATGATATGAGAATCGTTTAGTAAGAAATCTTTCGACTTAGTCATTTTTTCTTGTATTTTTTGAAATTGTGAAGCACAAGTTTCCTTTCTTTAACAGAATTGTCCTTCCATATTTTCCTGTGTTTAGAGGAATCAATGACTCTCACATATGATATGAATTAATCTACTCTTAAGCTTAAAGTCACAACCAGTCGAACTAAATATATCCGTTAGTCACAACAGCCGGTGTAGTTAATAACCTTCTCGAAATTTCAAAAAGCCTAAAATCTCCATGTTTTCTAAACGAACGCCCATAATTACCAATGTTTTTTCAGTATTAAAGTTTAGTAACATCCAGACAAAGCCAAGTCGATCTTATTTTTTTATTTTTATTTTATGTATATCGAAAAGAAACGGTACATACATAATATAACAACAAATGGTGGACACAATGAAACCAATAGCTCATGATCTATTAAATAACAGCAACCTGCTGCCTCGTCCCATTATACTCTCCCTTCAACAATCTCCTAAACCACTTAGCTGATTTCTTGGGATACCTCTTACGTCCATCTTCAAAGTCCACAAACACTAGCCCGAACCGGACCGTATATCCCTCCGACCATTCGAAATTATCCATCAACGACCACGCAAAATATCCTTTCACATTCACCCCCATCCTACATTTCATGTAAATGTTACGTAAGAAACCAAATGAGTTTGTTTTTAATACTATATTATGTTTATATATGTGATTGGAAAAGGAGAGCTTACGAGATTGCATCGAGAACCATCTTAAGGTGTTGAGCGTAATAGTCAATTCTCAAATCGTCATTCAGAAATATTTCGTTAGTGTTAGCTTCATCCACTCCTACATGATTTTAAGAAAGAAACGAGGACAAAATAATTAGTCTAAACTAGTTATTTAACATAGTATCATTTCTCTAGATGCTGTAAATTACCGTTTTCTGTTATGTACAAGACGGGATCATTGAATTTGTGTTTTGCATGTAGTAGGAGATCTCGAATACCCTGAGGGTATATCAGAAGCCAATCCGATCCAGCCTAAATTAAATCATAGATTGCAGAAACAATTCATTTTTAACATCTAAAAAGCGCATACTTTAAATGCCACTATATGAAACAAATAAAGAAAAACTAAGTAATTTTTTTAAACATAATCGTACCTTTGGACCGATAGGCACTCCATTTCGCTCAACTGATACAGTATATAAAAAAAGGTTATATGACGAATTCAAGAAAAAATGTTAATACAGTATTTTTGAGAAAAAAAACCATATGGTTCACTGACCGACGAGGCTGATGCAAGAATCGGTGGACATGGTGATGTTTTCAGTAGCACAAGGCACGTCAATTGCGTAACCAGATGAGTAATAGTTAATGCCTATGAAATCGTACGATCCTTTGAGCATTGAGGACTCTTCTGGTGTGAAGGTAGGAAGACGACCGTCTTTGACGTGGTTGACCATTTCGATTGGGTATCTACCATAGACGATTGGCTCCATGAAGTAGCCGAAGGTGAAGGCCGTGGCTCGAGCCGCAGCTGCTCGGTCAGCAGATGAATCTGAATAAGGGTAGTGCCATTCTGTGTTTAAGGCTATACCAATCTGACCCTTCTGAGTCGCCTGTGGACACAAGCGAAATGCAGTTATGATGGCGAAACAGAGTAAAAAAACAGGGCAAAGCGAAACAGAGTAAAAACAGAGCACAGACATACTTGGTACTTTTCTCTGTAGACTTTGACGGCGGCTCCATGAGCGAGGAGGAGGTTATGGCCGACGATGTAAGGCTCGGTGGCAGCATCGCCACCGGTGCAATCAGGATTATAGAAACTGGAACATCTTCCAGGTGCTTTTTGGCCACTTACATAACCATCACGTACCACTGTAAGTGGCTCGTTTAGTGTCGCCCACCTCTTCACTCTATCTCCAAACTTCTGGAAACATAGTTCCGCATAGTCCCGGAAATCATTCCTGTTTTCATTACCAAAAGATCAACAACAGACATTAACCTTTATCTTTGCCAGGGATTTTAGATGAACAGCTTACACAATCTCGGCTCCGAGGAAGCCACCGTAAGCCTTTTCGAGTGCCTCTGGTGAGTCCCAGTGAAAGAGTGTGACATATGGCTTCACTCCTAACACATTTAACACGTTTCACAAAACATTAAATGCTGTCTTCTTGAAAAATTGTTGACAGCTGTCAAGGGGACCAAGATCCTTAACATCACCAATAATGTGTATTTCACGTAAAAGCCCTCTAATGTTACCGTAGACTGAGAAACAGAGAATCATTTACCTTTTAACAGAAGTTGATTAATCAAGTTGTTGTAATAGTCAATACCAGCCTGATTTATACCTCCCTTTAGATCTCCACCTAACCAACAAAAAAAATGTGATTACTAATTCACTCGCGAATATAGAAACTTTTACAAAGATCTGTTTGGATCAATATCTCTTACGAGGCAGAATTCGTGACCATGAGATCGAGAATCGGTAAGCATCGAAGCCAATTTGATGCAGCAAATTCACATCCTCCTGTTTTTCCAAGAAAGCTTTTATGAAGAAAAGTGTAATGTTGGATGTATGATTGACTTTTTGTTTTGTTGGTTGAGTGAAGAAAGCAATACCTTGTAAAGGTTGTAAGAATCATCAGCAATGGACCCATTACTACCATCTATTATCTTCTCTGCGAAAAGACAAACGTCTTAATTTAATAATTTAATTTCAAGAAGAGAGAAAAAAATGGATCATGAATGTTCATCATCATCAACCTCCTCATTTTTGCTATGAACACAAGATAAAACAAAAAGAAACCACATTTCAAGATAGTTGAGTTCTGATGGTTTTCTGATTGTGAAGAAGAACCTGGAAATTTTTCAGAGAAGGTGTCCCAGACACTTGGTCCTCTTCCATCTTCATGAGCAGCACCTTCACACTGCACAATCGAAAAGATTTAGCCAAAACAAAAAAATCAAATTTAAAGAAAAATTAAGAACTAAACCTGATAAGCAGAAGTAGCAGATCCAAATATGAAATCTTCTGGGAAATCACTTCTCCTTAATCTAGGTCTTGAGGAGTGGTCCTTAGCGGAAACTCCAATGTAGGAGGACAAAGTCATAAGCAACAGTAATAGTAGACATTTACTAATCATTTTTTGGAGTTTTTTTGTAGAAGTTATTTTATCAGAATTTTGGTTGTGAAAAACTTTATGTGAGAAAGGGAAATATCTGGATTTGATCATTTGTATCTATATAAATAGAGTTGATGGAGGAGAGAGAGAGAGTGTAACAACTAGCAACACTTTTTTACTAAATTGGTCTCGAGAAACCTTATCCTATAAAATTATTTACTAAAAAAATAGAAGAGATTACCTTGATTGATTAATCAGAAGCTGAGTCATCAACACAATCCAAAATATCGTAATGCTAAGACGTGAGAAATGAGAAAACATTTATTATTGCTCAGAGCTCCTTCTGAACAAAATAAACGTAAGGCTGTGAGCATGTGATAACGATTTCAATTTGTCTTCTGACCAAAACAATAAAAACGATAAATTATGTGAAATTTGTAAGAAAAAAATGGTTTCAAGATATCAGCGCAATGTTTTCTGGATTTTCCATGCTGATTTTGGTTTAGTCTCTTAATTTGAGAATATATATCGTATATAAATTCGCTTTGTAGAGACTAGAGAGGTTTGTTGCGTGAAACGGGGTGGGCACTATTCTTTTGGTCAACGTAAATAAAATTAAACAAAACTTAACGTGGGCCAAAACTTAATCAAAACTATAATACTATTCCATGATTATCCATTTCTGGTGTTGAATGGCCTTTTTCTTTTAAAAATCCTTGAATGACCTTATTAATTACCAATGTTTTTTCAATATTAAAGTTTAGTAACATCCAGACAAAGCCAAGTAGATCTTTTATTTTCTGTATATCGAAAAGAAACGGTACATAAATAATATAACAACAAATAGTGGACCCAATGAAACCAATAGCTCATGATCTATTAAATAACAGCAATCTGCTGCTTCGTCCTATTATACTCTCCCTTCAACAATCTCCTAAACCACTTAGCTGATTTCTTGGGATACCTCTTACGTCCATCTTCAAAGTCCACGAACACTAGCCCGAACCGGACCGTATATCCCTCCGACCATTCGAAATTGTCCATCAACGACCATGCAAAATAGCCTTTCACATTCACCCCCATCCTACATTTCATGTCAATATACATATAGTTTTCAGTTTCGCTCTCATCATGTTACGTAAGAAACTTTATGAAAAAGTTGTTACGTAAGACACCAAATGAGTTTGTTATTAATACTGTAATGTTTTTTATAGATGTGAATGGAAAAGGAGAGCTTACGAGATTGCATCGAGAACCATCTTAAGATGTTGAGCGTAATAGTCAATTCTCAAATCGTCATTCAGAAATAATTCATTAGTGTTAGCTTCATCCACTCCTACATGATTTTATAAAAAGAAACGAGGACAGAATAATTAGTCTAAAATAGTTATTTTACATATCACCCACTTTTCTAGATGCTATAAATTACCGTTTTCTGTTATGTACAAGACAGGATCATTGTATTTGAGTTTTGCATGTAGTAGCAGTTCACGAATCCCCTCAGGGTATATCAGAAGCCAATCCGATCCACCCTGAATTTAGTCAACAGAATACATAAATTAAATTACATATGTTAAAGATAAACAACTATTTTCGTATAATTAATTCATTTTCTTAACGTCTACAAATTTCTACTTTAAACGCCACTAAAAGAGACAGAAAAATACTAAATAAAATTTTATCTATTTTTATTTATCATAATTTTAAGGAATTAAACAAAGCTCAATAGAATAATCGTACCTTTGGACCGATAGGCACTCCATTTCGCTCAACTAATTCAATATACATAAACAAGAAAAGAGTTATATGAAAGAATTCAAGAGAGATAGTCAATTTATTGGTAACTTTTTTATGGTTCACGAACCTACGTGACTGAAGCAAGAATCGGTGGACATGGTGATGTTTTCAGTCGCGCAAGGCACGTCTATTGAGTAAGAAGATGAGTAATAGTTAATGCCTATGAAATCGTACGATCCTTTGAGCATTGAGGACTCTTCTGGTGTGAAGGTAGGAAGACGGCCGTCTTTGACGTGGTTGACCATTTCAATTGGGTATCTACCGTACACGATTGGCTCCATGAAGTAGCCGAAGGTGAAGGCCATGGCTCGTGCCGCTGCTGATCGGTCAGCAGGTGAATCTGAATAAGGGTAGTGCCATTCTGAGTTTAAAGCAATACCAATCTGACCCTTCTGAGTCCCCTGTGGACACAGGCGAATAATATTACAGCTGATTCAAGTGTTGTGATGGTGAAACAGAGTAGAAAACAGAGTAAAAACAGGGCACAGTGTGGAAACAGAGTAAAAAACAGAGTAAAAACAGCGCACAGTGTGGAAGCAGAGTAAAAAACAGAGCAGAAACATACCTGGTACTTTTCTCTGTAGACTTTGACGGCGGCTCCATGAGCCAGGAGGAGGTTGTGGCCGACGATGTAAGGCTCGGTGGCTCCATCGCCGCCAGTGCAATCAGGTTTAGTGAAACTGGAACATCTTCCAGGTGCTTTTTGACCTGTTATATAACCATCACGCACCACTGTAAATGGCTCGTTTAAGGTCGTCCAATGCTTCACTCTATCTCCAAACTTCTGGAAACAGAGTTCCGCATAGTCTCGGAAATCATTCCTGTTTCATTACCAAAAAGACCAACAACCAAAAAATATTATCTTTCATCTTTTCCATGTCTTGATCTTACGATTTAGGGAAGTTGAGTGAATTACTTACACAACCTCGGCTCCGAGTAAGCCACCGTAAGCGTTTTCGAGTGCCTGTGGTAAGTCCCAGTGAAAGATTGTGACATATGGCTTCACTCCTAACACATTTACAACGTTACACAAAACCATTAAATGTTGCCTTCTTGATGAATATTGACCATTTTCAAGGGCTTTTGGCAACATCACCAAGATTCCCTCAATGTGTGTTAAACCTTAAAAGCCAAAAGTCCTCTAATGTTACCATCGACTGAGAAACATTAAGAGTTATTACCTTTTGACAAGAGTTGATTAATCAAGTTGTTGTAATAGTCAATCCCAGCCTGGTTTATTCCTCCCTTTAGATCCCCACCTAACCAACAAAAGAATGTGATTACTAATTCACTCGCAAATATAGAAACTCTTACAAAGATCTGTTTGGATCGATATCTTACGAGGCAAAATCCGTGACCATGAGATCGAGAACCGGTAAGAATCGAAGCCAATCTGATGCAGCAAGTTCACATCTTCCTGTTTTTCCAAGAAAACTTTTATGAGGAAAAATAGGAATATTTTGATGAATTATTGACTTTTGTTTTGTTGCGTGAAGAAAAGCAATACCTTGAAAAGGTTGTAAGAATCATCAGCAATCGACCCATTACTACCATCCATTATCTTCTCTGGAAAAGTGACAAAAGTATTAATTAAATACTTTTAATCTCAAGAAGGAAAGAAAAAAAGGGATCAAGATTCATCATCATCAACCTCCCCATTTTTGCTATGAACACAAGATATAAACCCAATTCCTCCACAAAACAAAAAGAAACCACATTTGGAGATAGTTGAGTGTTGATGGTTTCTAATTAAGAAGAAAAACCTGGGAGATTTTCAGAGAAGGTGTCCCAGATACTTGGTCCTCTTCCATCCTCATGAGCAGCACCTTCACACTGCAAAATCGAAAAGATTTAGCCAAAAAAGACAAACTATTAATTTGAAGAAGAATTAAGAATTAAACCTGATAAGCAGAAGTAGCAGATCCAAATATGAAATCCTCTGGGAAATCACTTCTTCTTAGTTTAGGTCTTGAGTAGTAGTGGTTCTTGGCTGAAAATCCTCCAATGTAGGACAAAGTAATAAGCAACAGTAAAAGGAGACATTTACTTCTCATTTTGTTTGTAGAAGTTTATTTTGTATAGTATCAGAATTTTGGTTGTGAAAACTTTACGAGAGAAAGGGAAATGTTTGGATTTGATAATTTGTATCTATCTATAATTATATAGAGTTGATAGAGGAGAGAGAGAGAGTGTAGCAACAACTAGCACATTTTCTTCTTCTTTTTTAAATACGATTTTAATTGTTTCAAGAAACCTTATCCTATACAATTAGGTTCTAGAAAAAAAATCAGATCCTTAATTAATCAGAAGCTGAGTCATCCAAAATATCTTAAAGCTAAAGACGTGAGGAGAAGTGAGAACCGAGAAAACAGTTATTATTGCTCAAAGATGCTCCTGAATAAGATAAACGTACGTAAGGCTGTGAGCCTGCGATAACAATTTCAAATATTCTTCTGACCAAAATAATAAAAACGTTAATTTTGTAAAAAAAAATTAACTTATCAGTGCAATGTTCTCTGAATTTTCCATGCGGATTTTGGTTTAGTCTCTTAATTGGAAAGTTTTAATTTTGTTGCGTGAAACGGGTGGGCAGTGGGGCCCGTCAACGTCAAAAACTGAAAAAAGTAAACAAAACTCAACTTGGGAAATTATTTAAATTAAAATTTAAAACTATAATACTAGTCCATGATTATCCATTGGACCATTTCTGATGTTGAATTGCATTTTTTTTATTTTTAACATTATCCTTGAATGGCCTTTAGAGCATCCCAGCAGTGATATTTAGCATGGTTTTTATATATTAAAAAATTAAAAACAAATGAAAAAGAAGGAAAGAGAATGTCAGAAAGTGTGGTACGTCTCTATGCAACGAGATCGTATCAACAAAAATAAGAAACTATGGTAAAAAGTGTCACTATATTAGTGGTTGGCTTCTTTTATTATTTTAAGTTTAATTATTTTTTAAAAATTATATTAATTTAATATTTAAGAGAGACTGAGACTACGGTATAACCGATGGACATGCTCTTAGTAACGGAATATACAGTTGATTAATTTTTTAAAAACTTATGTATTGACCCAAACAAAAAAGTTCCGTAAATTTATTTTACTTTTATTAATTACTGTGAAAAATGCTCTAGTATTTTCGTCGGCAAAACAAATACGTGTTCTTAAAATTGAAAATGTCGAAATAGGCCGTAAAGATAAGGGTCCAACAGGCCATTTATTTGCTAGGCAAAACCTTCGATGTAGGCCACGTCTTTTAATTTTTTTTGTTTACCATGTTAATGCATTGTTTGTTTAAACGATTTGATTGACTCCAAGAATAATAGTGGACAAAGAAGACTAAAAACGAAACAATCTTCAAGGCCGCAAAGATCCCTTAGCCTTCTTTGTTGAAAAGCTACTTTGCTTTGCTTCAAAGCTTTTTACATAACAAATTCAAATAGGAAAAGTAAATCTAGAAAAATAGTTCGAGGGCCTTGGAAGATTCAGACATCTTGGGAATAAAACACGAAGCCGACGAACCGGTAGCTAACAAGAATCTCTTCTTCTTCAATGCAGACTTCAACAAGTACTCCTCTTCCTCAGAATCTTCGATCTCTTCTTCTTTCTTCAAGAATTCTTTGAACCACATGGCAGACATTTTTGGAAAACGTTTTAGTCCGTTGTTGTAATCGACATAGAATAAACCGTATCGGACTCCATAACCTGCGTTCCATTCGCAGTTGTCTAGTAACGACCATGCAAAGTATCCTTCAACTTCAACCCCATCCTCCCTACACAACACATCATTTCTCATCAGTAAAAAACTAAGTAGGGTTCTTGTTTCTTGTGTGCCAAGAAACTTAATGGAGTTCTCAATTAAATAATTCACTTACTGGATTGCTTGTTGGATGCTTTGGAGATGTTTCTTGTGGTACTCTGTCCTTTGGAGATCCATCAAGTTAGTAAGTTTAGGTTTTTTCTCGTAATCTATGTCACAGTGTCCTGAACAATAAATGAAAGAGTTAGTAAAATCATATTTTCACAAATTAACGAAGACTACATATATTGGAAGAGTTTAGTATAAAATGATTACCATTCTCAGTGATCATGAATTTTGGACTTTCATATTTATTCTTGGCATGGCACAGAAACTTCCTAAGTCCTTGTGGGTATAGAAAGTCCCATTCTGAGCCACCTCTTACACCCAATGTCTGTCCAGCTTTGTTTTGTTCTGTTCCGATATGAAAAGAAACTTGTGAGACAAGAAACCAGTGACAAAATAGCCCTAAAGAACACCTAAGATATGCATGTGAGCGAATAAATGAATAAAAACATCTCATATGATATGAGCAAGTATACTATATAAAATTTCACTTACTTCTCCATTCGATGCGTGCGTCTGATCTCCAGTTGGGAGTGTTATTGTCCACTTCAGCAATACTTTTTACGTAGAAAGCACTGTAATAATTCACTCCAACGAAATCAAATGATCCTATTAGCTTCTTAGATTGAGCTGCGGTAAATGATGGTAATCTTTTTCCGATCGATTTCTTCATAATTTCAGGATAGTCTCCATACACCGTAGGATCCATATGCCTATATTATTTAAAAGAAAATCCAATTAACACAAAAGATTTACTATAAAATTTACAGAAAAAAACGTTTGTGTACATTTTTAACAATGTGTGTGTATATATAATTTTCATTAAAAAGATATCACTCACCATCCGAACATGAATTCCATGGCTCGTTCGCATGCTTCTTTATCATCGGGACAGTTTGAGTCATAAGGCTCAAACCATACGGGACAGTGCGCGATACCGACCTTGCCATCTTTACACTGTGATTCAACAAAAGTGTTATCAATATAAGCGTTCTCAAAGATTTCAAGTGTTTTTTTAAACGAAATCAAGTATATGTTATGTACTTTGGGGTTGTTTCTGAAAACTTCAACGGCTTCGGCGTGAGCCAAAAGTAGATTGTGACTAACGGTATAAACCTCGAGCCCAGATTCTCCAGCCACGGCTGCTTCATTCATGTACTTGGAGGCACGTCCTGGCGCTTTTCTTCCCATGTCATAACCACCAATACTATAAACCCATGGCTCGTTTAGTGTAACCCACAATTTGACACGGTCACCAAATTCTTCGAAACATATGGATGCGAAATCTTTGAAGTCTTCACTGCAAGAGGATTTAATTTGTATGCATATTGTTAAGAGACATCCCCAAAATGGAGTCAGAAACTAATATATAGACTTTTTCAAAAATCACTTACACTGCTTGTTCGCTTAGAAATCCGTTGTACTCATCTTCAAGGGCTTGAGGAGTATCCCAATGAAATAAAGTAGCTAGAGGTGTGATTCCTGTTCATACATATATGTATGATCATGTTAGAATATTTCAATTAAAAAATCAGGTTAATGTATATAGATAAGAAAAATTATATAAATACCATTAGCTAGAAGTTCATCGATGAGATCGTTGTAGAATTTGATTCCTTCTTTGTTTACTCCTTTGCTTTTCTTTCCAACTATCATAAACGAAAAAAAAGAAGAAGATTAAATCTACTGAATTGTTTCGAAATTAACTCATTGATATATGTTTAAGAAAGAAAATAGTGATCTACGTTTTTATGAGTAAATAACTTACGAGGCAGAATCCGAGGCCAGGAGATAGAGAATCTAAAAGCATCCATGTTAATATCCTTCATTCTCTGGATATCTTCCTTGTAATGGTTATAGAACTCGACCGCTTGATCGGCGTTAGAGTAGCAATTTCTCTCTGCAAAATTACATTTTATTATTGTTAGGTTTGCCTCTTCTTTTTTATATATTGAAACAAAATATAATATTTTATATCGATACAAACCTGGATGTTTGCGAACAAAGGTATCCCAAACACTCTCTCCACGAGGAGCTTCGTTTATGGCTCCTTCATATTGGTAAGCCGATGAGGCTGTCCCAAAGAGGAAACCCTCTGGAAAATCAGAACGGCCGAACGAGTTTTTCTTCGAGTAAATCTTTCTCTTTCTGTTAATATCAACAAAAAGAAAAAAGTTTAGAAACTTTCTTGTCCAAGGATAAATTGTTCCTTTGGTTCTGTTGAAGTTTTATCACTTACTGCGTCATTGTTTATAAAGATTTATATAAGGTTCTTGATCTTTTGGAGAAACCTACAAAACCCTTTAAATCTGCATAGACATGAGTTAAATCATCACTACATAGAAAAAATTAACTTAACTTTGATATATAAGAGGATAGATATATACCGATTCGAAGTTCTTCTGTGTTTTTTTTATATTGAATGGAGCTGACTGGTTTTGTTTTCTAATATGAAAACTGAAACGAATGATTTGTTTTTGTTTTGAAAAATGAATTAATGAATGAATCTAATCTTCGTGAAAGAAAGTAGAGATTGTTGAGTTGTGAGAGAAGTGATGGGGTATGTGAAGGTATTATATAGGCAAAGGGAATTGAAGTTCTAAGCGAAGGAACGTAGAAAATTCATACATGATCTAGTCCAACTAGTGTTGCATCTGCGTTTGCTGACCGTTAATTGCTTTCTTTTTCTTTGGTCAAATAATCTGCTTGAGACAATTAAAAAAAAAATGAAATAAATGATAATGGTCACTTTGCGGTGTTGCGCCGTGAGATATTGAACCAACGATATTACTCCTATTGTACTATGTTGACTTCAACTAAATCTTGAACAGAGACAGCATAATTAATATAATACAGTTCCGGCGAGACCCATATGCTAGTGTCTGACGTCTTAATCTAAATTTTTGTTATTTCACAATCACAGTGATAAATGGCTTTTGTTCCACAAGAGCTTGCGCGTTGATAAATTTTATTTTTATGTAACTGTGGCTAAATTTTTTGAGAAAAAACTTGGACTTTATACGGTTAAAGAACAAAATTACCTTGGACTTTTTAAAGTCGATATAATGACTTATTGATTATGATAAACTAGTATTTATTATCACCACATCTCGTATAAATTAGACGGGGACATTGCATCACGTGTCATAATTCTCGTATAAATGGAAAAGTATGCACTCTTTCGTTTCAGTTTTGTCCGTACCTCTTTTTGCTACTAATACAATAATATTAATCTTAAGGCTAGTCATTGATTTACCCAAAAAAAACCAAGATTAAAAATAGTTGACGAAAGCATGCAGGGTAGGTAGAATCAACGGTCGTGAAATTATATACATCTAAATAGAGAAAATGTAAATAAAACAAGTAGTTTGGTCCTTGGATTAGGTCATATATACAAAAATGTTTTTCGTAAAAGTCATATATACAAATTGCTCTTGTGCTCTCTCTTTTAGTGAGATTAACGATCTTTTTGTCACATCAAAGATTTCACATTTGCCTTCTTGGTGATTAGATTGTGACTTTGTGAGTGTCCAATATAAATCGCACAAGTTGAATGAGAATATGAGTAAAAAAAATAAAAAAAATGAAGCCGACATATAATGGATTAAACATTATAACTCGGAGGATAGTAAACTCGGAGGAGTCAAGGAAAGTAGTACCAAGTCCGTGGAAACTTTCCCATCACACACAAACTGTCTTGTTTCGTAGAAACCGCAGAAGTTGGAATATTTCGTAAGGATGCCTAATAAAATGGTATATCAGTATCTCATGAATTGCCGAAGAACGTTTTTTGGGACTGTACATAGTAAAAAGTAAAAACAATAATTTGGCATAAAAGATATATTTGGCATGCAACCTTTCTGGACCGTCTAGTAGTGGAATGCAACTTGGCACTTCAAACTTTATGGATGATGCGCTATTAATTGAATTTTGTCTTTCTTAGATATATGAATCATATTTTTTATGTATTTTGATTTCATATAAAGTAGTCAAAACACTTCATTTCTTTTTGAATTTTTAACAATTTTTTTTTGGTTTTGGTATTAATTAAGTAGTTATATTATTTGTAATAGTTGTTGAATAACCCAATAGTAAAAATAATATGACATATCACATGGTAAATTCTTTATATATTTTATAAACTATTCAACAAAAACATGACGATGTCTAGATTGACCTTCTTATTTTCACAAACTTATTCAACACTATCCCACTGACTTTCTCAATTCACTTACTCCTCAAACTTATTCAACTCACTTACTCAAACTTATTCAACACCCTTAATAATCTTTTTGGTGTATATGATAAGATTTTATCTCTGTAGTAGGATCTTATATATTTAGTACATTCACGAAAACACTAGTGTTATGTAAATATAAGTCAAGCGGAGCATCGGATAGAATTTCATTCAATCGGAACGAATATCAAATATCCACTCTACTAATCGAATCGTAAACGTAACTGATGTTTGGTATTTGTTTCAAACACTTTATATATAGGAAAAAATAAAAACTCAAATACATGATAAAATAGGAAGACATAAATAATAACGAAAAATATAAAAAAAGCTTAAAAATTCCTAACTTATAATCTAAGCTACATCAAAATACAAGTGTTTTTTGTGAGATAACTCAAGTTTACCATGTCAAAAAAAAAAAAAAAAAAGCCCAGTTACCAAATATAAGCTATTTGAAGCTAATAACTAACAAGTATTTGTGTGATCTTCACTACAGATCACACTGTTGAGATCCAAAGTCAGGAGTCTAAATCTACATAACTAATAAGGTTTGGACACTCTCAAGTCTTCAACACGTGGCACTCTTTTTTTTTTTTTTTTTTTTTTCGCTTAACACCAAAACGACGTCGTTTTGCGCTTTCTCTTTTTTTTTTCCGTCTTACACCAAAACGACGTCGTTTTCGTAAATAAAAAAAAAATCTAAATAAATAACAACTAAATTTTAAAACTATATGAAAAAATACCCAAAATGCAAAACTTACATAATCTAATATATTCGAGTAAAAAACAAATGATATATTCGAATATAATGTTCTGAATAATTAAATTAAAAATATTTGGTTTAATAAAACTGCGCATTGCGCGGGTTCTCTCATAGTTTTCTTTAAAGTTGAACATTTGAATTTGATTGGAATTTCTTTGAAGCGCTGGCCCAAAACTATTAGGGGACACATCGGAAAAAGGGTAATACTGCTATAAAGGCCTATTAAGTCTTTTTAATTCTTTGAGTTTTGAAAGTATGTTTCGAGAATTTCATTTCCAAAGTCTAAACCGGGTTTCTGTATTGATCAAACTAACAAAGAAATGAAGAACACCATGTCTATAAAGTATAAACCATATACCCTCTAACAAAGGAAAACAAATGTTAATTAAAAATAAAAATCTAAACTGGCAAACTGTATGAGAATAAATTACCTAACAACATCTTTGAGAGGATTGATGAATACTTCTGACACATCAAATGTACAATATCATCTTCTACCTCTTTTCTTTGGCTGTTGTTTATCGTCTTTTGCTGATTCCCTCCCTCGTTTTCTTGTAGCTGCAGCCGTCACTTCCTCTGCTTCTTTTTTAGTTTGCTTTCGTTTCACGGCACTCTTGCTCTTATTATTCTCTACCTCAGCCTTCTTTTTAACCGTACTGTTACTCCTCAATTCCCTCGGTTTCGCTGCTTTACTGTTCTCTTTCTTAACGTTTACGTCGCTCTTCTTCTGATCTTTTTTCGTTGTTTCTTTTCCTTTCTGAGGAGAGTTCTTCTTTATTCTCTTCAAGAAATCAGCCACGCTCTTCTTCTTATCTGATGGTACTCCTACTGACTTCTTCTTCTCTGATGCTACTCCTACTGTCTTCTTCTTCTTCTCTGTTTTATGACTCTCCTCCTCATCCTCATCATCATTGGATGAGCCTGTTTTCGAATCTGTTTGTTTCTTGTTATTATTCTTGGCTCTTTTCGTCTTGGTATCTTTGAGAACAACATCGATAACTTTTCTCGTTTTTCTCCTCGAGCTTCTTGCACCAGTAGTCTTCTCCTCCGAAACTTCCTGAGATTTCTTCTCATCTTTTTGTTTAAGGCTTGAAGAAGGAGACGTCATTTTAGTAGCAGGACTCTTCTTCTTACAGACAACAAGAGGAGGAACAGAGGATTTCTGTCTAGAAACCGATGATTCAGCCTCTGCTTTGACGACACTACGACCCGATTTTCCGGCGCGTCTCATCATTTCGTTGGACACGAGTGTTCTTAGCTCTTGTGCAGCCTTGGACTCTAAGGAAGATGGAGGAAAGAAAACAATGGCGTTTGTGAAGAGAAGCTTGAGGTCTCTGTAAAAGGGGAGACTTGAAGAAACATAGGATCCTTTCTCCATCTTCTTCTCTATTGTCTTTATGTCCAAATGCTGCCTTATCAATCTCTTGTAATCCTTTGTCTCCTGCGAGATAAAAGATTAAGAGTGAGACAACAAAACCATTTCAAGTATTGGGCTTACATGTGTCTAAAGGCCCAACTAAAGTCCAAAAAATTGTCGGCTTAAAGGGCGGCTGAAAAGTCAATAAGTTGACCATATCCTGAAAGACACGACAAAGCCATGCTTCAACAGGAAGCTGCCAGGTGTCTAAGGTTATGTGACCAAACGGTAAATGGTAAAAGAAAAATTCTTAAACAAATTGCTCTTCGACGAAAACTTTGCGTTTTTGTAACAAGAATAACGTTAAAGAAGGGGAGATCCCATAGGAAAATTATTAACTTTTAAATCATCGGTAATCGGATATGGAAGAGGAATTTTAAGATCAAACACACATAGGAACATCGATAACTCAAAAAAATAAAATAACAGCGATAATACGATACGATACATAAACAGGGATATTTGCTACCATATGAACAATATACGTTAAACAAGGAACAATAAAGCGTAATTCGAAAATTGGAAAAGGTAATGATCGCAAAAAAGTGTAAAGAGTTTTTTTCTTTTTTGAAAAAACGAAAGAAAAAAATCGTAGTGGTCCCGACCAAATTGGACGAGGTGTGGATAATTTTATAGGTCGTCCATGAAAATTCTTTAGAATAAGAAAAAAGAAAAACAACAAATCGCCACAAGAACAGAAAGATATAATGAGAGTTTAAATTTAAGTTGCATAGCACATGAATCTAAAAAAAAATTTTGCATATATCTGGCAAGACATATTGGGTTGGAGTAAAAAAAAACATATTAGGTTGACTATATGTGGCCTGATTGCATGAATATATAGCCAACTAAGACATTTTGTTTTTTTAGAATGAAAATCATTTTCTGCTAATTTTATCAAGTCTTTTTAGGAAAACAACAGAAAATTTACAACACTTCAGTGTGAGATTTTTCAGAATAATTGTTCAAAGGAAACATATTTGATAAAGAAGGTATAGTTTTTTATAACTATATTAGCATTGAGAAAAATTGATAACATGACGTAGGAAAAAAAAAAGCAAAATAGGAAAAACTACTACCAAAAAGAAACAACAAAAAATTATAGGAAAATAAGGATTTTGCTTACCTGGCTCCGAAGCCGGGATTCGAACACAGAACCACGCGGATGAGACCGAATCAGCTTAATGATTTCAATCAACGGTTGTAATTTACCGCCGGCCGATTTGATTACACCACCGCTTCCGCCGCGGATACTGCTATCCCCACCGCTCTTGTACTTCTGTACTCTCCTCCTCCCATGACCTGTGGACGTTCCTGATTCCCCCAACTCGCCTGACTGACTCATTCCCGATCTTCTACTAACCGTCCCTTCTTCCTCCTCCTCCGCCGCCGCCGCCTTCTTAACCGGATCGGGATGTGGAATTATCGAATTCTCGCCAGCCTGAACCTTTTTATTCCCGCCTAGCCGCTCGTGATCGACGGAGGCTGTCGAGTTCGACTCGTTCATCGACCTATCGTCCCGGCCAGACTCCGTCGTTTCCCGGTTTAGCTTCGCCGGTTTAGTTTCGTCGTTCCGCGATCTAACTCCCTTAGAGTCGTCCTCCAGATCTGGTTTACCGTCTCCATCACCTCCGTCTTCCTCCTCCTTCAATTTCTTAACTTTTAACTGAAGCGACCTAATCGAAAATTAAACCATTTCAAGAGTTAAATTTAAAATAAAATAAAAAAAACTGTCAGATCCAGCGGCGGAGAAATAGAGACTCTCCGTACAGTATGGAGTCGTCACACCGCTGAACCTCTCGCCGGAGCTCCGCGACACGAATACTCCGCAACTCCTCGAGCCAGGTGATTTCACCGACTTCGCTATTTCCATCTCCTTCTCCGTCGCCGCCGCCGGAATCTTGGAACCGACGCTTGAGATCTTGGTACTTAAGCCGGCAATTCGGGGCGGAGGCGCTGAGAGAGCTCCGGGAGCCAACCTCCTTGGCGATGGAATCCCAATCGGTATCACCATGGCGTTCAACGGCGCATGTTAACACGAGCTCCTCCCACGTTCCCCATACTTGACTGATCTTATTGTGATGATAGTTATCGTCTCCGATACGATTGTTATCAGAACCACCACTGCAACTGTAGATATTGGTGGTATCGTCGTCGTTCATGGCGTTCGATGTTACTGCTTCGTCCTCCTTCATCATCCGCTCACTAGCCTGACAAACAACACGCTCGCAGTTTTTAGGGATTTTTAATTTAAAAATAAAATATTTGTTTTTTTTTTCTCTCTTATATCTCTCTCACACTATTTTGGATTTCGAAGCCTTTATATATGAACTTTACAAATGAAAAAATAATATTAGGTCTGAGCTATTTTTCTATTCTTCACATGAAATGAGATAGACCTACGTACAAGATTTTCATCTCTGCTTTACCCATTTTGTGTGTGTCTATATATATGACGAGTCGGGTCTTGTTGGAACGGCTCGGGTCACCCAACTCTGCTTCGCTTCGCGTGCAACCACTGAATGTAGAGATATTTACAGGAATGCCCCTCGTGGGTTAACTGTAAATGGAATGTTCGTATTCGTCGATATTGTTTGGTGAATGTGAGGTGGGTAATGAAATTTATCAAACTTGAGAGAGATATGGGCCTTAAATTGTTACTTTATGTGTTGCATCTAGGCCCTAATTGAGCAAATGGTAGGTGTATAGAACAAATGGTTGGAAGAATCTGAGTTTGAATGAGTTTTTCGATGTTTTGGATTGAATTGAGAAGGTTGTTATGATTTTGTTATTAAGATTATCTACAATTTTCCAAAACTATGAGATTTGATATTCGCATTAAGTACTTACACGAAGTGTTGTGTGATACAGAGAGTTAAAGACAGTGCTTGATGGGGTTTGATAACATGATGTTTAAGTAAATATTTAGACCCATCACTAAATAAATCAAATAATTTAATTCAAACTCTCACTCACGTACTAGAGTAGAATCCAACGACATATATAGCCTCTTCTGTTTTAGTATGCGACCTCGTACTCGTAGCTTACTCATGGAGGCATGAGCAAGTTGGTTGGCTTGTTTGTCAAAGTTGTGGAATAATAATTTAATGAATCTCAGTCCGTAAAAACGTTTATTCAATCGTTGATATTATTGTGGTTTCGAAAGAACCAAAGAGGAGAAGTGAAGTCTTGTGTGATGAGAGAAAGAGAATGAAAGTTGACCAACCGAGTCAGGGTAACTAACTCAGCGGCTCGAGCGCATGAAGTTATCGAGCCAGTCCATAGTTACACTCTTAGGCCTCTCAAGTGGCAGTCCAAGAGCTCGGTCCCATATCAGCTGAAACCAGAAGAAAACGACAAGATATAAGTTTGAGTTCCTCATTGTTATAGCACAATGTGAGTATGTACCTGTGAGCAGATTCCAAGACTTCTTGAGACGCCAAAAAGAACCGTGTAGTATCTAATATTTGACCCCCAGAAAAAATAAGAAGAAAATGTCACTCTATTGGTCCAAGGCCTAGTCACACGTAGATGAAACTGTGCAATTCCTACCTTGCTTCGGTTAGACCATAATAGTTGAGCAGCACTCCGCTGTGAGCATCAACGTTAGGCCACGGGTTCTTGACCTTTCCTAGCTCCGTGAGAATAGGAGGCACAACTTCATAAAGCTTTGACACCTATTCAGTTGAATGATATGTCATATATGGGTCAGTGAAAGTTTATAATCGAGCATGACCATATAATAAACATAAAAGAAGAAGAAGAAGTTACCAGCTGAAAAAGAGGGTCATCAGGTAGATGCTTCAAGGCAAACTCTCTTTGGCATACATATCTTGGATCCGTCTTACGCAACACACCATGTCCATATCCTGGAACTACCTGCACGGCAATAAGTTTGGTTAAATATGTCACGAAAACATCAAATATCAAAATACAACCCTAAACTGTTATTCATTAATCTTCGAATAATTGTCTTGTCATCACTATCAGTCCATACATATTGGTCTTTCTTCAAATACTCTATCAATAACGTAACTTTCATTAAGATCATTGTAGCTATATGGTTTCAAAAGGCAAAGCAGAGCGCTATTTTTATTTTACCTTGCCGCTGTTTAACGTTTTCCAGACATAATCTTTTAACTGTTCCTTTGATATATTCTCTCCACATTCCTCAACAACCGATTTGATCCATAGCAAAACTTCCTGCAACAAGACCATGCATAAAAAAAAAGAACAAGGTTCAAGTCTCAGTCGTTATCACCTCTAGTTAACTTTCAGTTTTACCTGTAGCCTATGAGTCATTTCTTGGAACTCTGCTATATCATACCTATTAATATGAACAATATAAGATTCACTCAGGAAATATACAAGATGTTACCTGATTAGCCAAACCATGGAGTGGTCCAGCTAGACCATTTAATGCAGCTGCAAATGCAAGATATGGATCCGAAAGTGCACTCCCAACCTAATTAAACGAGTAAATATCATCAGCAAAAAAAAAGACGTGTCTTAAAGTTCAAAATATTTAGGGTACAACAAAAAACCTAAAAGTGGAACATTAGCTATTACATACCAGGTGACCAGCGTGAGCACTGACATTTCCACCTTCATGATCACTAAAACACAAACCAGTTGAAAAGAAAAAACCATTTATCATGCAATAGAAATTTTGTAAAATTTGGTTAAAAATACAAGAAGAAAAACTAGAGCTTAATAATTATATATGTTTAATGAGTCATGTTGTGATGTTGAAATGAGTCATGGTGAAAGGAACGAAGAGAACCAGCACAAACCTGTGAATAGTGACATAAAGCCTCATGAGCTCTTTCATCTGAGGACTATCAAATCCCAGCATGTGTGAAAAATTTGCACCATAATCCAAAGAATTATCTAATGGAATGATGCTACCATCCTTGTACATCCTGAAATATTAAGTCGTATGACAAATTCAAGAACAATAATAAGGAAGAAAATTCCCGGAAATGGAAAAAAAAGGCATATATAAAAGTTGTAACCTCCGATAAACGTATGAAGCTACAACAGGAACACGAGCAATCATGTTAAGGGCATCCTCAAAGGTTGACTCCCAGAACCTGAAATTAAAAACTCAGTTTTTATAACGTTGCCAAGCAGTCAAAGGAACGAACTGTATAAATAAAATGATCAGAGTTTATACTTTGACTTATGAATAACACCCGCCTCATATGTCTTCTGGAACTCACTTTCGACCTAGATAACAATTCAACAAGATAAGATAAGATACATAGACCAAGCTAGTAAAGAAGAGAGCAATCCACCTGGAGGGCCATAACACCACTAGCAAACTGAGTCATTGGATGAGCTGTCACAGGCAAAGCATCAACAGCTTTGTACACGTAATCTGTGACGGAAATTATATATTGATGAGTCACCAAGCTGAGGTCACAAACAAAAAGAGAGGTGAACTATATACAAACCTGGAACAGCGGCACGATCAGCCAACTCTTTTGACAATGCATCAACTTGCTCTTTGTTTGGCACCTATATACATCATCAAAAAGAGAGAAAACTATATACTTGAGATTTAAGATAACTATTGAAGGAAACGAACTACAAAAATGCAAAGATAATCAAACCTTCCCAGTTAACAGAAGCCATAAAAGACCCTCAGGGAAAGGCTCTTCTCCAGATTGAGCTGCAGGTAACACTTTCTGACATTCAGGAATCGACAAGCCTCTAAAGCGTATCCCCTAAAATAGAGTTAGGTCATAAAAAATAAACAAGAGCATTTGTTATGTTTCTATACCTATGAAGAAAAAGATATGCATACCTCATCTGCATCAAGCAATGAGGTTTCCCATAGTAATCCAGTCATGCCTCTCATTCCACCAAGTACCTTCACAAATGTTCCATAAAAAAGTACTTTCAAGAGAAAGCCCTAAAAAACCCTTATTATAATCAAAAACAGCGCCAAAAAAAAGACGCATTAGAATCCATACCATATCAACAGTGATTTTCCCCAACTGGACATTTCCATGTTCTGATTTCAGTTTCTTCAATCGTTCCTGAAATTAGAAATTGATGTATGAGAGATACATAAGCTAGAAGAGCCTCACTGCGCACAAAACTGTCCTAACTCAAGAACAATATCAATCTACAATGAAATACAAAAAAAAGAAGATGTTAACCTGTTGTTCTGGAATGATCTCTTGAAGCTGCGACTTGAGGACCTGCATTGCCATCGTTTCAACAAATTGAACACAAATTCTTCACGGCAATACTTCCAATAAAAAACCTAAAATTACCAATTCGGAAGAGGTCTGCGTCTGGAGCCATCTAACGGAATGGCTAAGCGGATATTGCTTTCCCTGCTTATATTAGATCCCATCATTAATCATTTCGCATCAAACAAAATTTTAGTAAAACAAAAAAAAAGGTGCAATCTAAATCTACTCACGACTCGAGACCGAAGCCTTGAAATGGTCGATACGCCTCGAAACAACTTCATGTTCCCGAGTTGCAGAGAACAATCCGAACTGAGAAAAACACCATTCTTCAAAACTCACACCTGATCACCTTTTCTCCGGTGGCGTTGCCGTATAGAAGATTCGAAAGTTTTACGTATAACTAAAATCGAGAGATGTTAAAATTGCTGCAAAATGATCAACACTGTCTTGTATAGAGAGACTAAAAATACAACAGAACCAAAACACAACCAATTGATTAGAATTTAGAAAACCAAACCGTTTGAGTGATATTCGGTCCAGAATACGTGACTCGCAAGATTCGAAGCAGCCGCAACGATTCTAATGCCTTGAAATTAGGTCAAAAATTAAAAATGTAGCTTTTTGTTTTTGTTTTTGTTTTTGTTTTTGTTTTTGTTTTTGTTTTTGGTATGAATGTTAATGTAGCTTAGCCTATTGTTGTTAGCTAGGTAAATAAAGCAGCTGTTTGGTACAGTTAAAAGATATATTAACATGTGTTTTTTTTTTGTTGGACAAAGTAAAATAAGCCAAGCGTATAATACGTTTCACATAACAATACAAATGTTTCAATGCTTGGTATATGAATTATCTTGCAACTTCAATAGTTCAGTATTTTGGTCCTTCCCAAAACGTTCTCTCAGCTTTACTTGAGATTCAATGCATTTAATTAACAGCCTACACAAAACAAAAGTAGAATGATAATACATTCAATTGTTTTTTAGCCAAGAAACAAA